AAATGCATCAGAAGATGAAACTTCATAAGCAAGAGATCTGGAGATGAAATCCGCAGGCTGACCAGAAACCAGGTCTCCCGAAGAGAAAATTTCATTCCAAATCTCGTCCCGAGGGCGTCTTTGCGCCTGGTCAACCCCATCCTGGAGAGAGGGTTCCTCCAAGGGCCCCTCGGGTAGAGTAGACCCTTCACCGTCAGCCGTCGGGACATCAAGCGGCTCCTCCATCGAAGCCTGTTGGAAATCAGGTGGGAGGTCCTCCTCGTACTCATTGGCGGAGGACTCTTCCTCCAGGTCGGCAACGGTCAATCTCGGAGGTGGTAGACCAGGAGGAGCGGGTCTGGCAGGCAGCTCAACCTCGACGGCTGCCCTCCTCTGCGAACTCCTGGTCCCAGCTGCGTCTCTCCTGGAGCGCTTGCTGTGTGGGTCGGCAGACTTGGAAGGCAGCGGCTGATGGGTGAAAAGGCTGCGGGAGAGAATGCAAAAGGGCTTGGGCCAGTGCCGCACGTGCACGAATATCAATATTGAGGCCGAAGTGGGCCTTGCCTGCAACAGAATTGCGGGCCACCACCACAGACGTCTCAGCGGTCAAACTGGAAATAAGCAACCGAGCGTGGGGAGAGACAATGCCATAATCCAACATCGCGCCTGACCCAATAGTGCAAGTGTAGTCCACGTCCGTGGGAATGACGGGGGCGCCTCCCAGCATCGCGGGCCAGCCCGACTGCATGAGCGTAGAAGGAGGAACGTTCCAATCAGCGAAGATGGCCCACGGGATGTCCAGACTCTTGATGAAACTCCCGAGGATGGCCAACTTCTGCAGGTTAACTCCTTTCAGGCCTATGCTAGAAGTCAAGTATGCGGAGACCAAACAGAGCGAGACTCCCTGGATGTGCCAGACCACAGGGACAAAGTCAAAGAAATCGATGTTTCCCTTGGTAGATGAGAGGTCCCGCATGCCAACCTGCTGGGCCTGATTCAGGGCCAGGTGCCTGAAGGAGGAAGTCATGAATGTGTTCTTGAACCCCAGCACTGCACCTCCAGAGAGAGCTGTTCTGTCAGTGGGTCGGGCAGGGGTACAAACCGCTGTGTAGCCGTTCTTGCTCCAATGTCGCAAGGGGTCATCTGAATGCTCTGGGCCAGCATGCGTCTCCACCAAGAGGATGGCATCATACTGGCGCTGGTCAATGAGGCCTTTGGCGGAGGGGCCCCAAGTGGAAAGACTCCGAAAGTAAAGATGCCAAGTCTTCTCTTGGTCCGAGTAGAGAGGCCCAACCACTGGAATAGAAAGAGAAGTCTTGTCGGATGAATTGAACAACTCTGGAAAATAATCTGGATGCTGCTTACCTTCGTAAGTCACAGTGGATTTCCCACCAGCACCAGGTCGTCGTATGCGGGTGGCGATGGTGGCTGAGCTGTCAGGAGCTTGACTTCTCCTTCTGCTGTTGCAGCCTGCGGGCTTTCTCCTGCTCGAAAGCTGCGGTGGCTGAGGGGGTCGCAGCCGCTGAGGAGCTTGAGTCAGTGGCGTCTTGTGATCCTCGGGCGGCCTGTGCGTCATCGTCAGCTCCTGGTGGGGTGGCAGTCGGCCCATCATCTGCTCGACGGCGTTTAGCAGCGAGACGTTCCATCTGTTGCTGGTGAGCCGCCCGAGCTTTCTTAGCCCTGGCAGCAGCATCAGCGAATAGCTTCTTCGCGCCGTCCTGGAGGCCCTTGATGAGAGCCTCGCGGCGCTCCTCGGCCTGGCGGAGTTCATCCTCCCCAAGACCTTCCTCGCCGCCCATGGCGAAGACATCTCCAAAATCAATGATGAAACCGTCGAGCTTGTCCTCCAGGAGCGCGGAGAGGGACAGCGTGGGCTTGGGGTCGGGTGCCGTCGCAGTGGGGCGAACAGAGGCGGCGAGCTTGTCGTACTCCGCCTGGAGTTCATCCAAGTGGGACTTAAGCTCTTCCACGTGCGCCCAGTGCTGCTCCAGGTCCTGCTGCCACTTGTGATATTTGTCCATGGCCTTTTTGAGCTTGGCGTCCTGATGTGTGAGAGCCCAGCGGGCCTTGGACAGGCGAGACTCCAAAGGTGGCTCAGGTGGAGGGCCCTTGTCCAACTCATCCAGCCTCCGCTGGCACGCCTGAGCCAAAGCTGTTTGGCCGCACTTGTTGGACGAGGCAAGCATGGCCACCAACTCAGAACGTTCGAGCTGAGAGACATCGACTGGCTGAGCACCTGGAGGGGGGCCTCTGGCCCAGCTGGATTCTGGCACGAGAGAATTCTTCGCATTGTGGGAGACATCCTTGGGTTTCCATTCGCCGCAATGCTTGCACCAAGCGAAAGACCCCAGGTTCTTTCCACAACCACACGAAAGGCATTTCCACATGGGGCCATTGTGACGGGGGCCCTTGGCGCCAAGACGAACTCAGGGCTTGTATGTCCAACTCCAATCTGCAGAAGAACCGTGGTCAGCAGACGGAGCCATGGCGCCCGAGAGTACAGAAGAGAAAGGGACGTAGTGGAAAGTGGGCCGAGGCCCTTCTTCGAGAAATAATAGCTGAAACGCAGAAAACCTCGTCTGACCAAGCAGCGAGGCGTGACTTTGGGGGCCGTCACTCCCCCGTGCCAGTGAGGTCAGGTCCTGTGCCAAAACACTCCGGACTTGAGCCAAAATGGCTACGGAAGGCAGTTCCCTCAATGGAGATGAACCGTTGTAGGGGCCCATCAAGAGGGAGCTTGGAGGTAGGGTTAATTCCAACATCCTTGATGACTCTTGGGTTTACACTGGTCCTCCTCCTCCTCCTCCTCCTCCTCCTCCTCCTCTGCCTCCTCCGCTCTCCGTCTCCTCCTCCGCCTCCTTCTCCTCCTCCTCCTCCTCCGCGGGCCACGGCGCAGCGCGCCGGGTGTGCTGGCGGCCTCGGGGGGCGGCGCCGTGGCGAGAGCGCTGGAGTGCAGCTGCACGTGCAGTGGCAACCCATGCCAAGAGACACCCTGCTTGCCTCCAGGGTGCCCTGGGTCTCTTGGGTGGCGATAGCTGTGCGATGGAGAGCGTGACGCTCCCACACCAAGGGCCTAGGTTTCTTGTGGCAGGTGCCCTGTGGTCGAGCCCCATGCTGCATGTGGGCCCTCCCGCCGCGGCGGAGCCGAGGCTGGCGGGAATCGGCGCCAGAGCCTCCGGGGAGAGCCGAGCTCGGCCGGAGCGGGGTGCGACCCTCCGGGGCGGCGTCGCCGCAGTCTCCGCCGCGCCTCTTCTCCGCCGCCGCGCCGCGGCCGCCCGCTCGGGGAGAGCGAGAAAGGGCTGTCGGCCCTCCCGGACGGGGTCGGAGTCGCGCGAGCCCCGGGCTAGAGCAGGAGGCCCCTCCCCCTGCAGAGGGCGGGCAACGGCGCTCCCGGCGGCGAAGGATCTACGCTTCCTCGGCCCGGAGATTTTTTTTTCGCAGCCGTCGTCGGTCGCCTTCGGCTTCGTCGGCCGATCCCGGGCCGCCGAAGCACGTTTCATCCTTCGCCCCTTGCAAGGAATGCCAAGTGTTCTGGAGCTTACATAAGACGGGGTGGGAGGATCGCGCCGCATCGCCGATGCATCGGCGATGCGGCTCGATGTGGAGCCCGATGTTCTCCACGCCGGCGTCGCCGATGCATCGCTGACGTCGCCGATGCATCGGCGATGCAGTGCAATCCTCCGATCCCATCTAGTCGGAATGCCTCTAGCCTAAGAGTGACCCTTCGCCTGAGCGACTTGTGGGGCGCGGCTTTCGGGGGGCGCGGGGGGCCAAGCCCAAGAACGGAGGCCGCTGCTGCCGCATCGCGCGCAACAAACGGCAAGCCGCGCACCAGAGTGGCTCGACCAGGCATGCGACTTCTTCGCCGGCGCTGATGCTCAAGCACATCATCGTGGCGACGGGCTTCACACTGTCCCCACTGTCCCAACCTCTGTCCCCACTGTACCACTGTGCCATTGTCCCACCACCGTCCCCACCACCGCCCTCACCACTGTCCCCACCACCACCGTCCCCACCACTGTCCCACTGTCCCCACCACTTTCCCACTGTCCACCCACCACTGTCCCCACCACCACCGTCCCCACCACTGTCCCACTGTCCCCACCACTGTCCCACTGTTCCCACCATTGTCCCCACTGTCCCCACCAGTGCCCCCACCAGTGTCTCACTGTCCCCACTGTCCCCTCCACTGTCCCGCCACGCCACGGTACCACTCTCCCCATTGTCCCGACTGTCCCCACCACTGTCCCACTTTCCCCACTGTCCCCACCACTGTCCCACTGTTCCCACCGTCCCCACCGCTGTCCCGCCACTGTCCCCACCACTCTCCCCGCTATACCACTGTCCCATTGTCCCACCGCCGTCCTCACCACCGCCCTCACCACTGTCCCCACCACTGCCGTCCCCACCACCGTCCCACTGTCCCCACTCTCCCCAACACTGTCCCAGTGTCCCCACACCACTACCGTCCCCACCACCACCGTCCCCTCCACTGTCCCCACCGTCCCCACCACTGTCCCACTGTCCCTCCACCACTGTCCCCACCACCACCGTCCCTACCACTGTCCCACTGCCCCCCCCGCTGTCCCACCGTCCCGAGGAGCGGGAATCGTTTGCCGGCGGCGAGGGGGGGGGTTCGAACCGGCAGTGACCGCCCCCCCTTTTCATGATGGATTGGGGGGGGGGTGGAGGGGGGGTTCGAACCGGTAGTGACCCCCCCTGGTTTTCGAGGGGGGGGAAGAGGTTGGGAACCCCCAGTGACCACCCCCGGGCTGTCCGCCGGCAGCGGTAGAGCACGCTCTTTTTCACGCCACAGGATGGCTTGGAACTGCGAAAAAACGCCCGAAGACCTCGAGTCTAGAAGTTCGAGCCTCGAAGTTCCCCCCCCTTGCTCGCCGCCGAATGTTTACCATCGTCCCTCCTCCACTCCTGGCCCGCTGCCCGCAGGGCGCCTTTTGGGCCCCGGGAGGCGCCCGCGCCTGCGCGCGCGCGCCCCTCTGCCCGCGTGGCGGCCCCGGCAGGACGACAACGAGGGCTCTGGCCAGCTGGACGAGGCCTGCCGAGGGGCCGCCCTCGTCGTTGTCGCCGTCGACGTCGTCGTTGTCGTCGTTGTCGTCGTCCGACCGTCCGATCGTCCTCCGCCTGCTCCTCTCTTGGCTGGCCCGCCAGCTGCCGCCCCGTCCCCCCGTCGCCTCCCTGCGCCGTCTCCGCCTCCCGCCGCCCCTTCTCGCCCTCGCCCTCCTCCCTGCGACCCCGACAGCGCCGACAAAACGCCGACGGCGCCGCCGCCGTCGCCGTGTCGGTCGAGGACCCACCGAGGCCCGAGAACCTTGGAAGTGCAGCTGCGAAGTGTCCATCCGCCCCTGGCGCCTCCAGAGGCCTCCAGGAGGCCCTCGAGGTCCGGGAGGCCTCCTCCGCTCTCCGCGGCCCCTGGAGCGCTGCGGGACCTCTCCCGGAGCGAGCTCTGGTTCAGCTCTTGCAGGGCTTCCCTGACTCCGGATCCGCCCTACTTTGGGGAAATTCGTAAGTATGGCTTGGAAATTCCGCCTTACTTTTCAAGCCCCGCTGATGCCAATTTCCGCCCTACTTTTCTACTGTTGTTTCCGCCCTATTTTTGTGGATGTTCGCCCTATTTTATGCTGGGTGCAGAAATTTCCGCCCTACCTTTTCGGCTTCTTATATGTGGATTTCCGACGCAATTTTAAGTTGAAAAAAAAGCCAAAGTAGGGTGGATCTGGAGTCAGGGTTGAGCTATGAACGATGTTTGGGCGATCTCGTGGGCCGTTGCTGTTCTGAGTTCGTCTCGCAGCAGAGGCAGAACGAAGACAGAAGGATCACGGAGCCACAACGAACACGAAAAGCACTGTGTAGCTCGGGCCCTGGGATCTGGGGGCGGGTCCGGCCGGGGCGACGAGGGCTCACTCCGAGGCAGACGCGCACGGGAAGAAATCCCCCCTCCCCCTCTCCCTCCGAAGGCTTCCGGTGTTCCGAGTTTTGTCGACCGCTTCCCATGGGGTGGGCTTGTCGTGCCAGATCGTCAGCTGGCTGCCCCCCTCGGGCGTTGTGGTGTAGCGGGAGGGCGGCAAGCGCGGGGTGGGTGAGGGGGGGGGGGGGGGGCGCGAAGCAGCGTGCACCTCTCGTGCACCTCGGGTGCCCTCCAGGGGCCCCCTTCTGGGGCCTTCTATTAAAGGGGCAGGACGGGTGTGCGCTTCTTAACGCCACCCCACGTGCCGCCCCCCCAGCGTGCACCGCAAGGCCCAAGGCTCATGACTGCTGTAGCCCGTGGCCCGAGACGAGCCCGGGAGGAGGAGCAGGAGGCAGGAAGGAGGAGCATGAGGGAGGAGGGAGGCGAGAGGAGGGAGGAGGGAGGAGAGTTGAGGGAGGAGGGAGGAGGGAGGAGGGAGAAGGGAGGAGAAGGAGCTGAAAGCTGGGCAGCGTCTGCGCCCCGATGTCGGCCTCCGGGCGTCGACGGTGGCGGGCGGCTCGCCGCACAGGTAGCTCTTCTGGGCGCCTCGCGCAACCCCCACCGGCCCAGCCAGACACGAAGGGGAGAGGAGGAGGAGGAGGAGGAGGAGGAGGAGGAGGAGGAGGAGGAAGAGGAGGAGGAGGAGGAGGAGGAGGAGGGGGGAAGGAGGGGGAGGAGGAGGAGGAGGAGGAGGGAGCAGGAGGAGGAGCAGGAGGAGGAGGAGGAGGAGGAGGAGGAGCTGGAATCGCCTCTCCGGGGCCCCCGCCCCGTGCTCGCCGGCCCCCCCCCCCCTCGGAGCTCCACGGGGCGTCGCGGGGCGCGCAAAAGGCTCGCCGCGGGCCCGCCCATAGCGATCCATCGGGCCGGGACGAAGGGGGGGGGGATTGGGACATGGGGGGGGGTACGAAATTTGCTGCATATGCAGCTGGTTTCGGCCCCACCGAGGAGCCCATTCCTCGAGACACGAGGCGCCTCCGGCGCCGGGAAAATCAGCTACGTGAGCTGACTCTCAAACCCCCCCTTTGCTATCCCCCCCTTCTCGCCCGACCCGAATCGAGCAGTTGGCGGAGCGTCCTGGCTCGCCTGTAGCCCTACCGAACAGTGTTCTAAGAAGGTGTTGTGGTTTCCACGAGATGTTCTTGGAACGTTTCTGGCGGGGTCTGTCTTGTTTCATCACGTCGGGCTTATGTTCTAAGGACCTTGTTTTTGTTCTTGGAACATGTTTGGGTTCTGGGAACATTTCGTGGTAGGACTATAGGAATGCCGGGACGGTCGGTCCCTGCTCAAAGCGAGGGCCTTCCAGCGCGGCCGCCCCCTCCGCGGGCTGGCCTTAGTCGGGCCCGTCCCTCCACAGGAGGAATAGTCAAAAATAGTCAAAAACTCGTCTGTGGACTGTTTTGTAGTGTTTCTTGACACTGGGAGTTTTTTGGTGTATTTTCTATGTTTCGTCGAAAATCCCCCCGTGGTGGGACACGCCCGACTTAAGGCTGGCCCCCGCAGTTGCCGTCCCAGACTCAGGATGGAACAAAAAAACACGCAGACATAATTCATCGTCGACCCCTAGGAAAACATGCGAAAATGTGGGAAGCGGGGGGGAAGGCAGAAGCCCAGAAAAGATGTAGGAAATTGTGGGGGATCCTGTCATTCGTGTCTATCTATTTGTGTGTTCCTGGGCCCCTTCACAGACGTCTGTGGGATTGGCTCGCTCCCCTCGGCGGTTCAAGAATGGGGGTCCTGAGGGGTAGGGGGTCCTGAGGACGAGGTGCCTCGACCCCTGCAAACCCATCGGGAGTGGACAGACCTCCTACCCTGACACGTCGATTAAGGAATTGGCCGTTTTCGGTTCGCGAGAGGGCGTCGCGGCCGTCATTTTTGAGGGTCCAGGTCTGTCGGTTTCGGTCCCAGGCCAATTTCGCTAAGGGGAGGTTTACTAAAGGGAGGTTTGTCCATCGCCGAAGACACCCTTGGATCCCTTCCCATCCTCAGGACCATCCCTCAGGGCCCCATCCTTGAGCCACCGATCCCCCGTGTCAGACTCCAGAGCCGCTTTCGGGCTCCAGGGCGATCAGTCGAAGAAGAAAAAATGGCATGAACATAAACATAATTAAGCTTTCGGCGCTCCGCGCGGATCCAAGGTATCCGCGCGGAGCGCCAACAGTTTATGTTGGTGTTGTTGTTTCTTCTATTTGGTGCGGATTGGCCTCAGCGTCGTGATTCGTGCGGTGCGGTCGAAATGGAGGCAAGCTCTTGCGCTCGCAGCAGGCACCAGCATGCCTGGCAGGGGCCAGCCTGGGCCCCAGGATGGCGCATAGACCCAGCTGGCCTCGGCCAGGAGGGCGTGTACACCATGCCAGGGCAAAGGACTGCCTTGGCCAGGCATGAGGGGGTGTGCACGTGCCTTCTGCGTACGGCGGGTTCGCGGTGCGTCGGCGCGGCGGTCTTGCTGGCGCGGGCTCAAGGTCGAGGGCCGCCAGCGGCATATGATCGTTCCAGGTCTCGGCGGCGAGCCTGGGGGGGTGAAAGAAGCCCTCGCGCCTTCTGAAAAGTAGTCTCTGCCGCCGCCTTCTGAAGAGACCTGCCCTTAGTGGGGCTCGGAAACGGCAGGGCCGTTTTTCCATCGTTTCCGAAAGATTGTCTCTTGAGAACGGAAGCGGCAAAAACAACGGCGATCGGAAACGGCAAAAAAACGGCTCCAGGATTGGAACCGGAGCCGGAACCGGTGAAAAAACGGCGGCGGAGCTGGCAAGAGAACGGCGTCGGAGCTGGCAGGGGAACGGCACGGCGGAGCCGGTGGCAAGAGCTGCCCACTGTGGGCTTGCCCACTCTCGCTTCCTCCCTGGCCTCGCCGGCAAAGGTCGGAGCAGTCCACGCGGTATCCGAAGCCGTCGCGCAGGTCGCCACGACACGAGGGTGCCGCTGGCGCTCTCGCGGACGCCGAGGGTCCCCGCTGCCCTTGCGCCTCCGCGGGCGGCGTCGCCCCCCCCTGCGCTGCGGAGCCAGAGCGCGCGGCGCGCGCTGATGCAGCAGTCGACGGCGAAGCCCGAGCCCAGGCAGCTCGATGGGTAGCTCGATGCACGCCGGTCGTTGAGGTCGTTGAAAGTAGTTTTTTTTTGGGTTCCCACATCCCAATCTACGTCAAGCGCTTTCCTGCTTGAAGGATCGGCTTGCGCTGTTGCTGTGTCGTATTATTCTCTGGGAGGGCCTGGGCCCAATCCACTTTATCCGCTTTCCTACTTCATGTTTTTACATACTTCTTCCGACCGACGTGTATGGTCGATGGGCGGCTGGGGCAGGTTTTGGAATCCGTCGAGCACCTGACGAAATCCGAAGCACGCCCCCGCCTCCCATCGATTCAGGAGAATCGGTGGTTGGTCGGGTGGCAGTCGAGGCTGATCAGTAGGGCGACCCTGCCAAATCAAAGGTGCCCTTGCGTCCTGCTTCGCGCGACCCGTGCCTTCTCAGATTCCTGTGGCGACGTGGTTCTCGGAAGGGTCTTGTGTCCTCTCGCGCGCCCCCCCCTCCTCCTCCTCCTCCTCCTCCTCCTCCTCCTCCTCCTCCTCCTCGTCGTCCTCCTCCTCCTCCTCCTCCTCCTCCTCCTCCTCCTCTCCTCCTCCTCCTCCCTCCTCCTCCTCCTCCCCTCCCCCTCCTCCTCCTCCTCCTCCTTCTCCTCCTCCTCCTCCTCCTCCTCCTCCTCCTCCTCCTCCTCCTCCTCCTCCTCCTCCTCCTCCTCCCCCAGCGGCGCCGCTGGCGTTAGATGGTGGCCATGTTTTTTGCGATGGCTCTGGGGTCGATGGTTTCTTCCCGTCCTTTAGGGTTGCTGGTTGGGGTGTGGCGGTTTTCGACCATGATCGCCGACCCCTAGCGGGGTGGTATGGGGCGGTCCCCCCACCACAAGGCCCCGACCAGGTAGCCAGAGACGGGGAGGATTACGCCATCCTGATGGCCTTGAGACACCTAGTAGGCAGGTACACGATTTATTCCGATTGCAAAGGCACAATTCAATGTTGTCAGAATGCCAGATATGCGCAGAGAGATGGCAACACGCGGGCACACATCTGGAAGGAGGTCTTCCGTGAAGGAACGCCCGCTCTGGTGAGTTTTTGTAAAGTGGCCGCCCACACGTCGATGACAGATGTGCGCGAAGGACGGATCAGCCACTTTGAGAGGGAAGGCAATGCCGAAACTGATCGACTTGCGAAGTTGGGTGCGGAGCTATGTCGTTGCCCGTCCAATGTGGTTATGATGTCCAAAGGCATGCTCCATGTCTCACGCCTGCTCCTTCAGTTCATAAGTAGGGCAGAAGGCCACTATGTGCAGGAAGGCAGGTGGGACAATGTTGGAGCCCAGGGGCTCACAGAGATCTCCCTGGACTGCTCCTGCTCCTCCTCCCGATGGGCCTCCGCCGCCCTTGAGACCTCCATCTGAGCCCTTGGGCCCGAGCTGCTGGCGCTGGCAGCGGATGCCCGCCAGACCCCTGCCTTCATTGGTGGGCATGCCTTGCTTCAGTTCGCGGTTGAAGACAACCAGCCTCCCATCCTTTTTTGTTCAACCTGCGGGGGGTATGCCACGGTGTCTGCGGGATCCAGAGGCCTTCGAAAGAGCTGTGGAGGGTCCCAGCAGGCCTTGGTAGACCCAGGCAGGAAGAACACTCGGGCTGTCTGCAAGGGCAAGCACCCCAACAGGCCTCTCAAACTGGGCTCTTGGCGAACTCCTGGGGCTTGGGCGCGAGAGCTGGTTGGGGGGGGTTCGGAGTCCAAGAAGGCCCAGATGAGAGAAGGAGGTTGCTCCAGGGCCGCTTCGGACCCACCTGCACGTGCATTTTTGTGCCTGGCAGATGTCCTGCGAGCGTTTGGGCTCAATGAGTTCGAAGCAGCTGAATTGGGGCAGAGGCTGAAGGAGCGAAACCCACACAACGATCTGGAGGAAGAAGAACTTGGCGGTTCGATACCCAGGGGGGGCCCTGTCGTTGGCCCCTGGCAGGTCTTTGGCCTTCCTGCCAGGGTGGCAAAAAGTTCCCCTCAGATGGGCCCCCCCTGTTTTTTTTTGGGACCGTCGGACTTTCTCCCCCCCCTTTCCCCTCAGTGGCGTGCGATCCTCCTCCTCCCCCTCCCCCTCCCCCTCCTCCTCCTCCTCCTCCTCCCCCTCCTCCTTCTCCTCCTCCGCTGCTCGTCGCCGCGCACCGTGTGCGCCTGCCCACCTGGCGGCCTGCCCCGTGCCACGTCCTCGGGGCGGCCCTGCGAGGCGGCCGGCTTCGTGTGCTGGTGGCCGCTTCGGGGTGCTGCCCGTCCTGCGCCGCTTGGTGTGGAGGTGGAGGTGGAGGTGGAGGTGGTGGAGGAGGAGGAGGAGGAGGAGGACGAGGAGGAGGAGGACGAGGAGGAGGAGGAGGAGGAGGAGGAGGAGGAGGAGGAGGAGGAGGAGGAGGAGCGTGTGTCGCCCCTCTGCTCGGAGGGGCCCTGTGTCCTCGCGCGCGCCCTCTGCAATCGACCCCGACGGTACAGTGGAGGCCAGTCCACAAGAAGCCTTCTACAAGGAACCCATGCCCTGAGACTCCAGGACCTCCCTCGAGCTTTGGCGTGGGAGCGCCGCGCCTTCCATCGCCACCCCATCGAAACCCCAGAAACCCAGGGCACCCTGGAGGCAAGCAGGGTGTTTCTTGGCATGGGCCCCGACGGCACGGCTCGTATGCCGCCGCCTGAGCAGGCCGCCCTCCTCGCGGCCCGCGTGACGCCGCCCGCGCTGCTAACGGCG